TGACCTTAAAATGTGAGAAAAAACTAATGCCATTTCACGAAAAACTGTCTTTGTGCATAAACTTGATTTTGCCTGTGGGATTTCTTGATATATCTATAATTCCTGTGAATGCCCATTTGGTCACATTCCCACTCACTTAAAACAGTCTTAATCAGTTTACAAGTCTAACTGATGTTAGATGTACTGGCTGTAATCAAGCTAATGGCAATGCACAGCAAAAGTCCCCACACCTACTAGTATCTTAAAGCAGAATACAGAGAACAAAGAAAGCTGTTCTGAATGGAAAATCATACATCTGTACCTTATCAGCAAAGCCACAATTATAGCCTAGGGAAATGTTATTTTTGGCCTAATCACTAATTTTATATTAAAATCAGGAGCAACTTAATATCATCATCATTTCTTTGCCATTGACCGGATTTTGGCAGCAGCAGCAGCAACATGACATTACCCCTAGAAAATCCAGACCTAGAACCTGGCAAAAGAGGAAGGAAGTGAACAGAACTGGACCAGAGTCTGCAGCTTTCTAATCTAGTAAATTACTACGTAAGTTTAATGCCATTTCATTACGCCATTTGAACAAATTAACACTTTTTTCATACTTGTCTACCTCCATAAACTTGCCCATATACAATGACATTCCCTATAATTCTTGATTTTCCAAATCAATGAATTCACTTAATTCATCTTTAATTTGATGTTGTATTGTGTATTTCTGTACAAAGTGTCCATAGAGCAGTGATATCATACTCTGTAAAGCCAATTTGCAATCATTAACCACAATATTGGCAAAATTGGTAAAATAATTAACAATAATAAAATAAAACAATATAACAGTTTAAATAAAATTCTTCAACTAAAGAAACTAGATTATATTTAGGCATCTCCCTCCCTTTTGTAAAACCTATTTGACTCCTATGTCAACCTAAGGAGTCTAGTTCAAGACAGTCAAAAAAAGGCTCAGTTATATTAAAGGTTCTTCTTTTCTTTTACAAGGCCTAAGATGATATGAACATTTCTCACTACGGAAAAAATGCACCTGAGTGTAAAAAATACTTTGGTAAGGCTCCCACATCTCCCTGAAAGCTTCTTAAATGTTACCTTACCTTATAAATAGGTTTTCCAACTCTGAGGTTATCTGCATGTTATTGCTCATATATATCAGAAAGTTCTATATCTCAAATGAGAACTGCATGCAAATGGCTATCAGACAATGAGTTGATACAAAGCGGATAACATGCCTAGTGTGTGTATAAGGAGATGATAGAAAGTCATAATTGTAATGTTCTTTTAATGTGATACACAGTGAGGACAATGACTCACTTGGTCTGTTGGGTTTAGGATGATTTTTTTTTTCAAACATTAGCAAAATCCAAGTGCATTTTTACTAGAATATGACATTCACATGTATATTTTCTAACATGAGTATGGATGTCACATGTGCTTGCCTGCACATGCCTACTGGCACGGGCAGGCATGTACGGATGTGGTCATAGCAACACCACTAAAAGCAACTGTAAAAATCTATATATAAATAGAAACCCATTTAGTAATTCCTCTCAGGCTCCCAAACCCCTTCTTAAAGTATTTTTTTACCTCAGGATATTTAATCATGTGACAGCCACAACCTTTAAAATTCCGTAAAAAACACATCAATATTCTGAGGCAAGCCATACGCGTGTCCCCATTAATTTGGGGTGTCAAAGAACATGACATGAATACAGGTAACATTCTACAGGCTGCCTAATGTTATACAAGGTCATTCTCTTCAATATCTTATATATATGCTTACAATATATAAAGAGATTACATACTGAGACTGGCCACCCATTTACCAGTACCAAAGAGATATTGACAGTAATGATATCTAATTAAAAATATTAATCTTATTTGCTTTGTCTTCCTATTAATTTAAAAAATATATTCTACAGTGTGTACGAATAACCATAAAAACTTGATTGCATAGAGGGAAAGTCACTGGCTGTCCAAGATGCACTTAGTTTTTTTTTTTTTAAATAGCTAATTTTTCTCAGCATTTAGCGCATCCCAACTGTCAAAATTTTTACCATTTTGGTACCTTAGATCTCTACAGTTTTTCTTTTGGATTTTACTCTAAAGACAACTTCAGAACTTTTTTTCAGATCAACAGAAAGCAACTTTACATGGGTTCCTAACTTCCTTTCGCGGAACAACTGCTGAAAATTTCTCCAACTTACCAAACTACATCCAAGCGTCCACCATTTCCAACCCTCAGTATCTCCAAAAAGTGTTTATGCTTGGGTTTTACTTTGAAGGGGACTTCTCACTTCCCGTGCGACTTGCTTCCTTACAACCCTAGAGAGCTAAGTACACACACCCATTCATTCTGACCAGCACCAGTGTTGATCTTTTAGTAACCCTAAACCTCTAAGTATATAAACCCTACAATAATGTAAATTGGCTAACTTTTGTGCTATAAATGGGCCATTATACAATAGTGCCGACATTTTGGGTATAAAAGATTTTGGTACTTAGGCAGAGGGCGCTGGAATAAATGTGTAGCATCAAAGCATTTATTTACGTTGACAATGTTTATTTATATTAATATGCACCTAGGAAAAAAATCCTGAGTAAAATTAATTATTTTCTTCAAAAGAAAAGTAATCAAAACAGAGTCTGTATTTTTACAGCCTTTTAAGAAGTGTGTTTTTGGAGGGAGATGTGAGGTTGCTAATATAGTGAACTGGAGGCTGTGCTAAGTGTAGTATTTGGGGGGGGGGGGGGGGG